GTTGCTCAAGGCCCTCAACAAGTTCTACTGCAAGCATATCGACAGGTCTGTCTGGGTGCAGGTTTGTGAAGCAAGTTAGTTGACTTTCTCTGAATTCACCCTACTTGTGAACTAAAAGGGAAAACTAAGAGCAAACCACAAAAAAAACACAGCTCAGGAAAAGTCCCAGAGAGGTCATTTACTCTGATCACATTGCTCACCAAGAATGACTTCAGGAGCACGATAGTGTCTTGTGGAAACAACAGTACTGTGGTGTTCATGGTCGAATGTCGCTGATCCAAAGTCAATCAGCCGCATGTCAGAATTCTTAACTTCTCTTTCATCTCGTTTCTACAAAGTCAACAATAAATATCATTTCCAGAATAACAGAAGACTGTTGTAACAATAAAAAATGTTCATTGAAACTTTGGCAGAATTTCCTAGTAACCAAATACACACAAACCTAATTCTAGGACATGAAAATAACAAAAGTTTGTTTACCAACCTGTCTTGGATTGTATGAAACATTGCAGTCTGAATTCACAAACAGCATATTCTCTGGTTTCAGATCAGTATGGCTCAGCTTCATATCATGGAGAACTGGAATTCAATTATCAAAAATAAATATGACTGGTAAACATGTGAACAACAAAGTTGTATTCGTTTTAAACTAAAACAATGGTGCTGTAGTTTACATGTGTATATGAAGATCCCCGACTGTAAAGAGTCTTTGGTTCTTAAGTTCACATATTCTGATTGGACAAATCAATGCAAATAAGTCCATAATGATTCAAAAGTTACAACAATGTGCAGGGTGATATCCTAAGAACATATACAAAGACAATTGTTGGGTTTTCATTTTAGTGACCCTTGCGACTGATGATTTATCCAAATATAGATACATTGTACGTTCAGACCTCCCCCCCCCACTAAACCTACAATCCATAAGGAATACTGACAGGTATCAACTAGAAGGCAAGAACAATTGAAGTTTTTGCTCACCTAAGCAATTTATGTACCATTAAATTTGTTGTTGGTGGTCCAAGAGTAGAATCCCAGGGAACTCCTTTCATTTACTTGAGAGGCAAGAATCTTTAACCCAACCCCCCCCCCCCCAACAAGAACAAAAATGAACAAAAATAATGAATGTATGTACAAGGCATCAGGTATATTGCGGTGGCAGGATTGAGGCCAGTATTTAAATTGCAATACCTTTGATACTCACATTTTACTGAAACAAGAAGTTGGTAGGAGATATCTCTCACTTGTTCCAGTGGATATGGTTCATAATTGTTGTCCTTCTATAAATACAAACAATAACAGAGGGTAAGAATTCATGTAAGTTCACAAATTGTCAGAACTTGAGGCCAAAGGTTCTTCATTGGTGACAGTAGCATGCTCAAGTGCTACAAACAAAAGTTGAATCCGTCTCTTTTTAGTTCATTTTCAAATTCTCTGACACCAAGAAATTGAATTAGATTCATAAGGTCCAAAATTGTGTTTCTTGGATGTCAAAGAAAATTAAATTTAAACTAGGGAAGCTTTTTTTGAGAACTTAATGTGGATGGAATAAGGAAATAAAGCAGTCAAACATGTCTTAAAGTGCACCTAAACCCCAAATTTTTTTTCGCTTAATGAAATAAGCTTATTTTTTTGAGTATTTCTGCGCAAAAATTTTTTTATTAGCTCAAAATCTTCAATTTTCTGTGCTTAGTCAAAATACAGAAAATCAGCTGCCATCTTGCTCCACGACCGAGTTTAAAGAGGAATGGCTCTAACGGGTAATGTGACGTCAAATTGAGAACACGAAAGTCTGCATTTCGCACATTTTCACTTGTTTGAGAAGGTTGTAGTCGATATTGTCCAAAAATATGCCGACTAAGTGTGTCGTAGAAGGATGTGGCAACGTGCAAAATTTGCAAGAGGGTATCGCGCTTCATACATTCTTTATACAACACACCTAGTCGGCATATTTCGGGCAATATCGACGACAATCTTCCCAAACAAGTGAATATGTGCGAGATGCAGACTTTCGTGTTCTCGATTTTACGTCACATTACCCACTAGAGCCATTCCTCTTTAAACTCGATTGTGGGGCAAGATGGCGGCCAATTTCTGTATTTTGACTGGGCATAGAAAATTAAGGATTTGAGCAAATTAAAAAATTTTTGCACAGAAATACTCCAAAAAATAATGAAAATTAAGCAAAAAAAATTTTTAGGGTTTAGGTGCACTTTAAATAATCAGTAGTTTGGATGGTTAATCACTGAGCAAAGAAGATTCACATCTGCAAGGTAAATATATTATGTCCATGTGACAAGAAAGTTGTTAACCAAAACTATATTAATAAAATTATGTGGCCAAGAGGGAAACAACAGAAGCTTCTCAATTACCATAAAGTCAAACACACTCAGACCCATCTTCTCAAACACAAGACACATGTGGCCATGATGGTTAAACCAGTCAAGCAGCACAATACACAGACTGGAAAAAATGAAAAGACCACCATGTTAAAATTATTTAACAAGGTATCTTTGGTGGTCATATTGCTAAGTGAGTGACCTACAGTATCGTATACTGTATTGCAAGAAAATCAAACCTATTTTTACTTATTTTTTTTGTCAATTTCTAAGTGCTACTTGATCAGGAGAAAAATTTACCTTGCTATTAATCAGAGACTTTTGATTGGATTCTGATGTACCAATTGTATACAGACCAATCACAAATAAGTTCTGCACATACTTGCAACAGCACTGAGTGATCGATGTTGCTTGTTTTTTTGTCACAGCTTATTTTTTCTCTTTTTCCCCATAAAAAAAAACATCATTCTATGTTTCTGGTGTTCAAGGTTTTCTGAGATTCAAAGTTACCCATACCACACAGTGATTTAAAATCCCATTAAAAAGGTCACAATAAAACATTGCAATAGAAGGAAAAACTGAAACAAAACAGAGTTAAACATCTGCACCTTCTTCCACTTCTATCTCTCTGCTGGATCTTTTCCAGTACCTTGATTTCTAGTTTTGCAGCTTCCCTGAGAAATAATTTTTTGACACAATGCTCCAATTAAATTGGAGTTGAAAAGTAATTTCATGACAAACCTTGCCAAAATTTGTGCAAAGCATTCAAAAGAATTAGTAATCACACACCTGTACTTTTCAACATTCTTGATGACTTTCACAGCAACATATGTATTGCTTTTCCTATCAATATAAAATTAGTTTTACAGTAAATGGTTTGAACCTAAGGGTAACATGTGAAAGTGTAGTGTGATTGTCTGAGTGAATCGACTCAAATAAGGAGCTAATGTCTGACAAATGAAACTGGAATATTACTTTCAAACTCATCAGAAAGAATATCATGACTACAAAGAGGGAAAATATTTTTCATTAGAATCAGATTGAGGTTTTTCCAAGCTTCCTCTCAATAGAGAAACAATACCAAAAAAAATTAATGTTCTTTTGGTTTGACAGAAACAAAGCTGAGGAAAATTACTCTACGATTTATATCTCTAGTGAAACAGGATACCAACCTGTCATAACAATCCAGGACTTTACCAAATGTTCCCTCGCCTAACAGTGTGCTAATCACATCTGAAAAAACAAACAATGAAGTCAAACATTGAAAAAAAAAAAAAAAAGCACTTCCACATTGATCTTCTCCATGTGAATAGAGTATCAAAGCAAATTAAAATTGAAAAAAATACTGCAGCATTAAGTCCTTTAGAAATGCAACATGTTGAAGCCCAACTACGATAGGCATTGGATTTAATATGAGAGAACAGAGATTAACATTTCACTATGCAAACATGAATACTGCGGCCAGTAGTACAGTAAAATTACCAGCCACTCATTTACACAAGGTGAGAACAAGTTCCAAGGCTAAGGATGTATAATTTAGTAACATGTATCTACCAGTTACTGAATGAAACAAGAAAATTAGTACATCTGGAGTGCAGCATGTCGCCCTGGTGATATATCAGGTGACCATCGTCATCATCCTTGATACTTGAAAAGCATCTGCTCGGATCATCCACGCATGATGGCTTCTGTGCAACAGGTGCAGCGTCCATTTCACACGTGCAATTCAATCATTCATAGACATATTTCACAGGAGGGCATGGGCGTTATTCATTCCGACATCATAATTTGCATCAGCATGATCACATCCGGAGTTCCACCCGATTTTCAAACATATAGAAAATAGCAAAATATACACACACAGCAAACACATAAGTTTATTTGGAAGGAAAAGCATCTATCTTTTATGGAATATCCATTATCACTCATGAAAGTTAAACTTTTTCACAACAGTGAGTTTTCCACACTTCCATGAACAAATGTCCTGTTTAAGGTAACTTATTTCTTCAAGTGTACTTCATTTACACAAAAAGTTATTTGATGACAGCCATGGATGTATAAATGGGGTCTGCATTAAAGCTACATTTTCACATGCTACTGTTGTCCCAGTGATGTGCAGAATAATTTTTAACCACGATCTTTGAATGGCTTTAAACAACTCATTTCTACCGAAAAGGATGAATATTTCATCATCTGATGGGTAGATTCGTTCAAAAAGTACTCCTTATCAGGCGAAGTAACTTGGAGAAGGTTAAAAAACACGAGTAAAAGGCAGCAAAATGGACGTCAAACACGTCAAAAGACCATTCACTGTTTGTCGCAGAGCACATGTCGCGTGAGAAGAATTTATAACAAGAGAAATCTACAAGATAGTAGCAATTCATTGAAAATAGACTTTATTTAAGCCTGTGTTCCTTTGGTTCGATGCAGCAAAGTAATTTTTTTTGTTGAATGAATGTTATAAGTAGGTTTGTTACTTGTAATAAATAACGATCTACAAATAGTTCCAAAGTCTTGATGAGGAATAGTATTTCTTTTTCCATCGGGGGCTATTAAATTGCTTAATTAAGACGAAGACTGTTGGAAGACTTTTGTAAAACGGCATAACACATTGGTTAATCATACCGAAAAAAGCAAAAAACACTAACGTGGCTTCTTACCGCGTGACTATCAGGAGGATCATTCCGATGTTTGTGGCGTCTTGTCTTTCGGTCACTCCGTCGTGTGCTGCGGCTTCGATTTCTTGACAATTGACGATTGTGCCTCCGCTCTCGGCTATGAATCGATGAGCTGCCACGTTTCAAATGGCGAGTTTCAGACACAGGGCTACATTCTCTGTCCAGGCATCGATGTTTAGAGTAATATGAAACTAAACTATCTCCTCCAGAGCTAAGAGAACGTTTTCTTCGACCGTTTCTTGGCATTTTACTCTTTGCAACTGACACAGAGACTACCAAAAGATGGCGCACAAACTGGTACTCGTAAAACCGGACAAGCAGGTTTTTAATGATGTCATAATGGCATTGACCTGTGACTGTCAGGACTTGTTCAAATTAAGGAGAGGGCCTGGGGACCAAGTCAATTCAAAATGGCGGCCATCAGAGGTGCTTCATTAAAACATGTTGCCAGAGTAACTGTTTCGTTCTGTCCTTTTGACTCAAAAACGGCGACAGCAAGGTGAGTAAACCCTTTCGACACAAGTTATTTCTACAATTTGTATGTAATATTGAGTACATTACTAACACAACTAAGAGATTACGCAAGCATTTGAAACGTCTTAACGTCTATAATTTTAAAACTGATGTAAAGAATTTAATTTTAAATTTGTGAAGGTTTCCTTCCACGTGATAATAATAATAATAATAATAATAATAATAATAATTTTATTAATTTCTATTGGGCAATTATCAATATAAATTTTCAATTGTGCATTACAGTATATGATCTTAATACAAATATATAAAAATACAAATGTAAATGTAAATTTAAATGATATAAATACAAGTAAAAAATATAAAATAATTTTATATATATATTTAGTATAATTTCAGAGCTGAGCAAAGAGTTTCCAGCAATCTGATTTGTCGAGCGGTTCCTTATATGACGCTATATAAACCGCTCCACGCGGTTTATATAAAATGTTAAAACAAAATGTTAATAAATGTTACTAAAATGTTATGATTTTAGAAATTTCTCTGTTGTTCAGCTCTGAAATTATACTAAAACAATTATTCACCTCAGGTTCGTTGAATATTGTCGAATAATCCCTTCGACTTCATCTCGGGGATTATTCGACGATATTCACCTCACCTTTGGCGAATAATTGTTAAATATAGCAAAAAAGCATCACATCTAACACCATAAAAAGGCTAGTCTAAAAAGATAAGTCTTGATTGCCGTCTTGAATTAATTAACTGAATTTAGGTCCCTGATATCACTAGAAAGCTTGTTCCATAATTTGGGGGTGGCCACTAAGAATGACCGGTCTCCGAGAGTCTTGCGAGACTTCAATGTAGGACAGTATAACGTCAAGGAGTTCATTGAACGCAGGCAATATCTACTTGACGATAATCTCTAATTGAGATTAATTTGCTAATATAGACAGGCACCAGACCATGGATAGCTTTAAAAGTAATTAAAAGCACTTTAAAGATGATTCTATATTTGACTGGCAGCCAGTGCAATGATTTCAGAAGCGGTGTTACGTGGCAGTATTTACTTTCTTCAAATATAAGGTGCACGACTGCATTTTGTACCTGTTGCAACTTATGTAGGTGGCAAATGAATAAGGGCTGAAAGTTTCTAAAGAAACCGTGGTGCTGCGTTGGTGGGGGTCACAAGATAATTGGTTATATCAACTAAGTTGAAATTGTAAATTGGCCACCGTAACAAATAAAAAAGCTGACGTGTCAAGCGTTAGCCCTTCGTCAGAGCGAATGGAGGAATTGTGGGTTGTATATGGTTTTATATGCAGAAAGCGGAGCTATGCCATTGGTGGGAATGTGGCAACAAGAAAAACACAAATAAATTAGTGGAATGAAATTGCCAAATATGGCAATCTGCAGTCTTTCCTTACATTTAGGCAACACAGAAAGCCACAAAACTCTTGAACAATAGTTAATCTTTCAAATCGGCACTCTTAATCCCACAGGTATCAACGAACACTTTTCATTCCTCTAATTTATTCTTGTTTTTCTTGTTGCCATGTTCCCACCAATGGCACAGCTCCGCTTTCTGCATATAAAACCACATACAACCCACAATTCTTCCATTCGCTCTGACGAAGGGCTAACGCTCGAAACGTCAGCTTTTTTATTCATTACAGTGGCCAATTTACAATATCAACTTAGTTGATATAACCAATTATGTAGGTGGCAGTTAGGCACTCCATACAGTAGACTGTTACAATAATCAATTCTGCTAGATACAAAAGCATGAATCGGGGTTTCTGTGTTTTCCCTGGAAAGATATTTTCTAATTCTACGAATGTTATATAAATGAAAAAGCGCCGCGGAACTAGCCTTAGTAATATGCTCTATCATAGACAGATTCAAATGTAACCACGCTCTGAGATTTTTGACTGGTGAGTGTGGGACTATACCTGCATTACTGACTTTCACATGATCTACATTGACTTTAGCAAGCGGCTGCTTCATTCCAATCAACAGAAACTTAGTGATATTCTTCAGGTACACCGTGATGGTTGAAAAAAGAAATATACGAAAGGGATATTTTTGGCATATTTTTGGGTATTATGTGTTTTTTTTTAACTCTTAATAAAGGTGTGAATAACTGCACAGGTCATTCTTTTGTAGCTGGCTTGCCTCAAAAAAAACTACCAGCCTATCAGTAACACAATAATTTGGATATATCAAGAAAGTTGAAACGGTAAATTGGCCACCGTAACGATTACAAAAGCTGACGTTTCAAGCGTTAGCCCTTCGTCGGAGCTAATGCTCGAAACATCAGCTTTTGTAATCATTATGGTGGCCAATTTACCATTTCAACTTTGTTGATACATCCAAATTATTTTGTTACCCCCACCAACACAGCCCCAAACAGTTTCTTTCGAAACTATCAGCCTTTATCAGTAGCACACTTGACTGCTTCTTTTATTTTTAGAGACTTCCTTTTAAGAGTTTCATGTAGAAGAATGATAGACTCCAATCCTAAATGCCAGGTCATATCAAATTTCAAGAATGATGGATCAGAACCTGTTGTGGATATTGTCTTTAGTGAGTAGAATTTCTTACTTTCCCCATATCTTTGGCAGAAGTCTTTGCTGATATCTACTGTTTTTAAAATTTTCTTTCTAGTTACTTCAGCACATTGGGTGGTCAGTTAAAATTAGTGTTATTCATAGTGATGTTTGAAGGAAATTTGTTGAGACCCTCAAAAACTTAATAACTTTTTCCATGAAATTCCAAACTTGATGGGGATAGTCCTTTGTACTCCCCAGTGAAGCTTAAGGTCATTATTTGATAAGCTCATTAAAAAAAGGAAACTTCCAGAATACTTTGTATTCCACTGAATTAGTTAATTGATATGTTGTTCTCCGTAAACAACAATTGCAGAGTGATTTTTGGGACAGGTAAGTGAGGGTTATACTTTCTAAGAGTGGCTTGATGCAGTTTCACCTATAATAACTGTAATGTAATGAATCTCGTGTGTTTGCTGCAAAATCGAATATCTGCACAATAAGAAGTTTAATCAATAACTTCAGATAGGTTGTACATAATCAGTACCTTGCACCTAAGTATTTTTCCTTTTTTTAATAGATGACAAAGATACTCTATCAATGAAAACCAGCAACATGAAATTGATGGACGTGATTGCAACATTTAACAACAAATGCAAAGAGAAGGATGTGGGCGAATGAATCCTTTGTCACCAGGCCAAGTACAACCAGGATGACGGATGTTCAGAGACAAAATGCCACAGTTACTTTGGAAGGAATCACGATAACAATAGTTTCATGTGCAAGAGCTTTGATATGTATGTTCTTTATGATATACTTTTTGTTAAATAGAATTGTGGCTAGGCTTAATTTCCACCACGCTGGTCTCTGTTCTCCCTTTTGAGAAAGGGGAGTGAACCTATTTTACAAAATCAGCCAGTTATAAAACTGAGCTGTGGTGTGTTGACAAGAATCTGAAGCAAGAAAATGAGCTGTTCTCAACTTGAAAACAGACAATGTCTTTATTCAACCTATTAAGTGCAGTCAATCCCTTGGCATAGTTTGTTAAGTTTGTTACAATACTTACAGCCTATTGTACAAGTTTCTCACAACATCTAGTGTCAAGATAACAATTACAAACTTTTTCTGAATTTTACTTTTAAAAAGATATCAGTTCAAAGAACTAAAATGTGTAGTACAATATGTTTGATCATGACTGTCTATTTGTTCTGTTTTAAGTTGGTTTGCTCAAATTCTGATGTAGAAAATAAATGATACAAATAAATTTAAAATTTACACGATTTAACTCCAAAGTGGTCTTGATGTTTTCCATCTTGTATTATGCTAACTTTAAATGTTCATCCCTCACAAAATCTAAGAAGAATAAGAGTGAAGCAATGTTAGAACGTTGACATTTTTTTCTGTCCAATAAGTCACTCAAACTTCACATATACAATAACAAAAAGCTGCAAACCAGTATTGTAAATACCTTCTTTGATACTCTGTATTTATTCCAGTTGGTTGTCTTTTCTGTAAGTTTGGGTCAGTATCTCGCTGTGGAACAGATGCTAGTAGCTCCTCTGTGGTTGTGGGTGGTCTGCCATGCTTTTCTCTGATGGAATTGATGGTCTCAATTGGATACATCAGAGCATGTGATTCTAGATATTTTAATACATACTCATCAGCATCAGTTATTCTGAAACGGTGCTTGAAGATCTGTATCAAAGCTCCAATCTGAAAGTCAGCAGGGGTGTAGAACTCAGGATTATCGACAGATGAGCCTGGTTTGGTAGCATGGGTTCGTTCCAGGAATTTTCCACCAATTATACCAGCATTTCTGATGGGGGGTTCATAGATTGTCAACATGTCATCTGCCAAGCGATAGTAAATGATAAAACGTCTGTTCTTATCTTCAGGCCTGAAGCTTTCCTGAGGATAAAAATGTATTATAGTAAGCAAGTTTTATGAAAGCAACTAAAATAATTTAGTGGTTTGTTGTTAAAGTCTCAATGGCAGAGAATTGGCAGAGAATTTAACAAACAAGTGAGGAACATTACATTTTAGTTACTTAAATTTTTATAGTATTCCAGATATTTTAACTTAGTTTATATATAAACAGACTAGGGGAAATCATGGCTGGGAAAAAGTGTTTGTTGCGGGTTGCAGAGTGTTTCAATAGCGGTCATAAATTAATGACAGGAAGATCAGTTCACCATTAAATATTATTTTATGGAAAACCAGTAAACTAGCTTCAGCTAAGTGTATAAATAAAGATTACATGTTAGGTATGTATGTATGTGGGTATGTAAAGTCTCTAAACCACTAAGGAGGAAAATTTATTAGATGTGCTGAAGGCTTGGGGAAGACAACTTTGAATACTCTGAAAGGCAAGTTACCATTGTTGCAGCATATCGCAGCACTTTATGATCATTTTCCAGCATCTTGATGAAATCTTTCTTAGGAGGCTGAGGTACAAGTGACAGGCATGACTGTAAACTGTCTTCAAGTGATCCAAATCCATTATAAGGTGGAACATCCTACCACAACCAAAGAAAAAAATAAACATGTTAACTGGTTCACAAAAATACATGAAGGCTTGTAAACATTATTACCATACAGAAGTATTCTATACTTAATAATTTGGATATATCAAGAAAGTTGAAATGGTAAATTGGCCACCGTAACGATTACAAAAGCTGAAATTTCAAGCATTAGCCCTTCGTCGGAGTGAATAGACATAGGGCTAACGCTCAAAATGTCAGCTTTTGTAATCGTTATGGTGGCCAATTTACCATTTCAACTTTGTTGATATATCCAAATTATTTCATTACCCCCACCGACACAGCCCCAAACAGTTTCTTTCGAAACTGTCAGCCTTTATTCTATACATATCTGATGTTCAGTGAGCTTACAGACCTACTGAAAATAAGTAAGTAATTACCTTTGGTAAAGGCTCTCGAGGTAGTCCCTTCACGTCAACTGAAGTGAAATCAGTGATGCCAAATTTTTTTCTGTAGTAATTCTTTGTGAATTCATCACAGTCATGCAATAACAATCTCCTTCCCAGGATAAAAAGAGTTTGTCCCACCATGAAGTCTTTTGGACTGAACCAGTCTTTAATTTCATGATCAGACAACTCCAGAACACATGAAGGAAATGAAGCTGTTGAAAAAAATAAAAAATTTTTAAAGATAAAAATTACCCTATATGCTTGCACCAGGCTAAAGCCTCCAGCTTTAAGAATGTACCCCACTTTAAATTAGTACATCTTCCTTAATTTACAAAGTATTAAAATTATTCAACCCCCTTGCCCCAACAAAAATTATAACATAACTAAACTAACAAGGAAGTTCTGCTAGTGCCCTGGATACAATTTCAGAATTGAATGTACTTAAAGTTCCAAAAAAAGGTTTTTATCTAACAGATCATGGAAATGAACTTACATTCTACATTACTTCTGTTTTTTGGAAGTTTTTGTCGGCAAACAAGTACAGGGAATGGATCTCTTCCATCATTTGCAGCATGCACTTCTCTGATCTCAACTGTGTCATCCACAAGATAGTAATGTATGATCTATGAAAAAAGGAGACGAAGTTGTTAGTCAAGCAACAATGCATGAATTATTGAAAATTACATGCATCTTCGTATCTTTGGAAGATCTAGGTGGAGCTAATCCATCAAAGAGAAACTGTTACTCACACAAGGCCGCATTTCTCCAAACATACTATCTCTGTCATCCCAGACACAGTAAAATCTTAGCACTTTGCGATCCAACTCCAAGAACTGTTTCAGTTTGTCAAATGAAGATGGAGTCTTGTAGCTTCGCAGTGGCTGTATACGTGATTCAGTATAGGGATCAGTTTCAGGTAATTCAGGCTGGTTCAGTTCTATTCCTTCGCTGGCCATGTATTCCTACACCAGGAGAACAAGGAAATTAAAATAAAAATGAATTGGATAATCAAGCTGAGGTTGCCTTCATTTCAGTTGATCATTCCAAGAAAATAAAAATAAACAAAGTAAGAGTGATGACTTTGATTCTTGGTTGTAAACAAGCAATTTCTGAAATTGAATATGTGAAATAATTCTTATTTTTAAGTCTTCTTTTACTGTTTGTTTAAATAACTTCTGCTCACCTGTAATCATTAAATTTATACCTAATCCATAGTTGAAATAAGTTACAATTTATTGTTATATGTCAAAGTTTTTTCATTCCACTAATTTATTCTTGTTTTTCTTGTTGCCATGTTCCCACCAATAAAGTAGCTCCATTCTCTGCCTTTAAAAGCACACACAACCCACAATTCCTCTATTCGCTCCGACGAAGGGCTAACGCTCAAAACGTCATCTTTTGTAATCGTTACGGTGGCCAATTTACCACTTCAACTTTGTTGATATATCCAAATTATTTTGTTACTCCCACCGACGAAGCCCCAAACAGTTTCTTTCGAAACTATCAGCCTTTTGTCAAAGTTTTAGTTGGGTTGACCTCAGCTCTATTGGAAAACAACTTACTGGTAACCCTTTACACCCTAACATCAGTTTGCATATTCTCCATACTGTTCTGGATACATTTCCCAAGGTGCTGATAAGGAGAATTTGTTTAACAATCAAGAGCTTCTTTAGTTGGTGATCATTTCCTCTATTTTTGCAACCTTAATGTGTGATTCAGAGGTGACATTAATATTGTGAAGAGAAATTAGATGCGTCACTCTTAATAATAACACTAATGTTTATACATTGCTATTCTAAGCACTCTTAGGTTAAAAGGCTTAAAGGTTTAAAGAATAATTCACCGCACTACATGAACGTATAAATAGAACCCAAATTTTAATACTTAGACAGGATATCATTTTGGTTTGTTAAAAGAGTAAAAAGAGTGTAATAAAATGTAGTCCAAGCTTTTTACCTGTGTCCAGGCATCACAGTCATAAAGATGGAAGACTTTTCCATAAAATGTGACATTTATCCCAAGGTTAAGATCTTTCCAATGCCAGTATTCACCAAGGTCATTTTTTGGTAACCGTTGGCGCTTAATGAGTTTTCCCTGAGGAATTCCACTGAAAATAAAATTCAGTTCTCATTATATTATATACATATGATGCAATTAGTACATAAGGAAGTGTGACTATTAACCCTCTCTGGAACAATTTCAAGTAACAATTATAGTTTGATTACCAAACTGGGCAAAGCTCAAAAGGTTTTAAATTTGCAGCTGAAAATACAAAGAAGTCTTTTGTAATGATCATCATCCTTGACGTGTGCTGGTAACTCTCTGTGAAAGTATGTTGCCCCAGTGCATGCCAAAGGATTTTTCTAAAGCTTAATTTTAGCTTCCTATAGAGTGTGACCCTAATCGCACAAGTAGTCGCAAATATCTGGATAGAGGAATGTTTCCTTCAAAAGTCACAGAGAAAATGAAACAGCAGAGTTCCTCTAAGATCAAATATAGACCAGTTGCGATAGTAATGTGATTAAACAAATAAATGCTGCAGCATGTGTCCATTAATCCCCTACACCATTCAATTGTATGAAATATATTCTCCTGACTAATTATGCACACGTATAGTCAACACTGTGGAAATCATATCAGGGAGGCCATTTTGCTGGGTGAAAGCTACAAACGAACAAAAAGGCCTTGATACTAGACTGGACATATATTTTGACTGTAGAAAGCTGACTTTCCTTTATTAAAGTAATCCAGACACCAATAAAATGACTTATCACTAGGCTTACCTGTTGTTCACTACGGGCTCAACAACCGCAATCGAGTCGTCTTCAAGATAATAATAAACTTTCACAGGACGAACTCTGTAATATTCACCGGAAGACTCGCGGACAGTTTGCTTAAAATATCCAAAAAAGAGCAAAACTTTCTTATCAAATGCAACATGAGCAGGAACAAAATCTTCTGGTGGTGCCTGAACTTTTTGTCCATACGTAAGAGAAGGTTTAAGATTAGCCAGTTCATCGAGCTCCTCTTGATTTAGTTTATTCACAGGAATCGGGTCTCCACCGATACCAATTTCGGGCGCTGTTGGTAAAGAGTAGCCATTCTTCCATCCAAGAGTCTGAGGTCGATGAAATTTTGTTTTCTGCAAGTGAGGTAGCATTGGTTTGTACATTACTACAGTAATTAATCTAAAGGAAAACACTGCGTTTACTCCCCACTTACCGTCGGATCTCTAAAAGAATTACCAGGGAGGAATGGAAGAGCCATATTGTTTTAAAAAGTTATCGCTCAATTTTCCGTAGAATACTTCGCTCGAAGATTCAAATAGTATCACTAACAAACATGGCTGCTGCTGTTGCTATATGTTAGCGCCTGTTACCATGGTTTCTGTTTGGAGTACACTTCTCTCCACCAGACTCATGGGATAGAAGATTATGGAGAAGACTGGAAACTAGTAATAGTCCTCCTAAGATTGATGCAAGCGAGTAGAAAAGTCGGCACGCGTTTTTCTTTAGAGTGTGAAGTCTTCTCCTTCGTCGTCATTGTAGTTTTTTATATCTTTCAGCAGAGAAGCTTGGTTGTTTAACCCTTTAATAGCCGCAGCTTTTGTGAAAAACTGTGTTTTGAAGCTAGTCGAGCAGATTTGGGGTCACTGTTGTGGTTTTAAAAGCTCAAACTTACCACAAACCCATTGACAGCTCGTACACTCGACGGCCTTTCGATCCAAATGCAAAATGGCGGCCTGAAAATCTCGGGCACGCGCAGAAAGCAAAATTTCGAGATAGTTTTTG